TTCATTTGGCTCCATGCTACGGACGGGGGATATAATTATGTCTACTCGTTATACTTCTCCCCGATGCCGTGCTTTGGCATAAGGACAAGACAATTTTATCTTATGTCAGTGGATATTATCGGGGGATAAAAAAGTTCTCCCTAGCCCATGCTAGCCGTGCTGAGGACTAACATGGAATGCCTCGTTTCCAATAAAAAGGATCTTGGGTTCTTTACACTCTAGCTATAATAAAAAACCCTAATATTTGTTTTATAAAGTATTCTCGCACGCTGACTCTACCCAACGTAAAATTATGTTTTAAAACTAAATACTCTGTAATCTATACAAATAAATAAAATTGGAGTGTCTGTTTGTAATATGAAAATAACAGTATTTTACTTAATACATAGGGAAGCATATACGGTACTTATAACAAAAAAGACATTTTTAAAATTTTTGTCTGTCTGTCTGTCTGTTTGTTCCGGCTAATTTTCGGAACGGCTGGACCGATTTTGACGGGACTTTCACTGGTAGATTGCTGATGTTATAAGGGGTAACTTAGGCTACTTTTATTTTAGAGAATGAATTAGGGTTCCGTGAAAAAAAATTAAAACCCTTGAAATTGTGAACAAAATCCAATTCAACGGTAATTAATAAAAGTATGTATAATAATAATAATAATAATAATAATAATATGTAGTATACATTCAACATAATCGAATGTAAACACTAAGTATAATAATAAGATATAATAATGCCCAGTACCACGCGCGCCCCACGTAAACGCCGCCGCCATGTCCGCACCGCAAAACATCATTATTACAAAGGCGGGCTCAGAATGCGAGAGCGGGCTATTGCGGATGGTTGTGTCTCAACGCGCGCCCTATAAAATAATTTTCGACTATCATATAGCTGATATTATAAGGAGTAACTTTTATATTAGAAAAATAATCAGGTTTCGCGAAAAATATATCGTAACAAATCGTAATATATTCCACGCGGGCGAAGCCGCGGGGAGCAGCTAGTCTAAAAATATAATCCAAGTTATACCTAATTAGTAATTATAGAGCATATAAAGGTTTTGTTGCGTTTTAGAGCCGCTTGCAAAATCTGATATCATCTCTCTCTTTTTGTTCGATCGGAGTGAAAATTACTTCAGCTGGTATGATAAGAATCCATGCAATTACTAAGACAATCTCAGACTTTGTTTCTTATTAAAAATCCATATGTTTGACAATATTCATACTAATTTTTAGTTTGAGTTATACATAAGCAAAGAGATTTAAATATATAGGTATCCTAACTATTATATTCTAGATTCTATATATATTCCAAGAGGTTGGTTCAATTTAATTTTTATGTATTAGTAGTTAATTACATCTCGGTATTAAACATACCTACGTAATATTTTGTCGTTTGAATTTAATAGAATAATTTTTATTTAATATATATGTAGATTACAAGTATTTTTTATAAAAAGTAGTTTCTTTTACTCTCACCACTAGTTTGGAAGAAATTCTCTGTCCCGGGAAAAACCAGCAAGAAACCAAGCGGGACTAAAAAAAAGTTAAATTACATAGTAAAACAGATTGTACAAACTACTACTTACAAAACTTATTTAAGAAACAGCTTGAAGCGACCACCTCATTCCCAGGGGTTATAACAACCATGTATTCAATCATGTTATAATAACCCTTTTTATGCAGGTTTTGATTGATGTGATGAAGATGAATAAATTTAGTTTTACTTTTTCTACTATCCTTTTTTATGCACCGAGTTTTAAAGCCCGAATGAACTTCGTAGTAAACCTGTTTTTAAGTAATAAAATGCTATCACATCTTAATACATGAAAAAAAAAAATGCTTTTTATTCATTTTTGTCACAACGTATGGGCTTTAGATTGGTCCAAAGACGTTTGAAAATTAAAATAGGGCCATACATATTATGTACACAGTTTTCCTTTCAAATGTAGTATATTTTAAAATTTACTCTCCTTCCATTTTAAATTGGCGCAGCTTTAATATAAGCTGGGCAAAGTTAATACAAAGATAGCGTTGGCAGTGCTTATAATGAAAATTTAGAAAGGGATTTGTAGGTCCCAAACGTGTCGTAAGAGGCGAAAGAGGATCCCGTCGGATCCCGAGGGTGTCGTAAGGCGACAGAGGGGATTGAACAGAATAGACAGTTGTGAATAGGTTAGCTCTTTAAGTAGCAGCTATTAAACCAACTTAGTACGGTTCACTCTTTAATTTATTCTCGTTAGGGTAGTCAGTTTTCCCTATCACAAGGTGTACAGGGCACTGTCCCCAGCAGGCAGCAGTATCTTACCGATAACTATTCAAAATTATAAAGAAAATTATGGCTGCCGACCCACCTGCCAGGCGTGGCTACTTTGACTAATACCTTGGTTCACCAGTGGACTTTATAGACTATAATGAATCAATGAATGAAGGGTGTATAAGAAACTTTTAAGCATAAATTAATTTAAATTTTAATATTTTTCTTACATAATTATGTATTGCTATGGAAATATTGCAACTATAGCAATACTAGTGTAGTTTTATTCATTCTCTCTCTTGATCTTTTGACGTATACATTCATTTATCTTAAATTAAGATTCTTAATATATAAAAAGCCCGTGTCACGATGTTCGTTCTCGGTAATCTCCGAAATAGCTCAACTGATTTTAATTAAATTTTGTAAATTATTATATTAGCTCAAGGTCGCTCAGCGAGCTATGGAGAGGGCTATGCTCGGAGTTTCTCTGCGTGATAAACTTAGGAATGAGGATATCCGCAGTAGAACCAGAGTAACCGACATAGCCCAACGGATTAGTAAGCTGAAGTGGCAGTGGGCCGGCCATATAGCTCGAAGAACCGACAACCGATGGGGAAGAAAGGTTCTCGAGTGGCAGCCTCGTACCGGTAGGCGAAGTGTAGGGCGTCCCCCCACGAGATGGAGTGACGACCTGGTAAGACATGCAGGAAGTCGATGGATGCAGGTGGCTCAGGACCGTGCTTTGTGGCATTCTTTGGGTGAGGCCTATGTTCAGCAGTGGACTTGTGAAGGGCTGTAATGATGATGAATGATGATTATATTATTTATAATTATGTATTGCTTAGATAGTTTTTTTTAACCCGTGAAGTGAACCTCAATATTTTTATTGTGAATTTAGGGGTTTTTTTTTATAAGACCAAAAGATCAACTTGTTATAAAATACAGTTCAGTATTTCCACCTGCATTTTATTTTATTTTACTTACACAAAGGGATTTGTGGAAAATTTAATTAAAAACAACATCTTTTGCGGTATAGTGTACTGCTGCTGAAAATGCGCTTCCATTGATGAAACTCCATGGGAATAATTGCCACAGAGACTGGAAAGTTGGGTGTTATGTAAGAGGATAATACAAAAAAAAAAATATATTGCCTTCATTTCCTTTAGACATCGTACACGATACGCATTTGACAAGATGGGGTAACTGGGTACACATTATACCGCCATTCATCTACTTTTATGGCTTACTGTTCCGAGTACTTGTGTAAGCCGGGGCCTAGTTTCGATTACCAGCACAAATAACTGGTTTTAGTGTCCGATTATTTTTGTATTACAAAATCAATTATTATTTCACACGATAAGAATAGGATAATCAAAGTGTCATAATATAGCTTCTGTTGTAGGTTGTGCAAAAAATCAAACTATTAATACATAATTTAATAAACACTTAAATTATTAAAATCAACTAAGCTTTCGCTTACCCATTGTTCATTGGTCCATTTACTTAAGGATTTTACCACAACTTATTTTAGGATTTTCCAAATATTTTGAAATGTATTATTTTTATTAATAATTACAGGCAAAAAAATAGTAGGAATGGGTGATACAAATCGTATATTTACAATCCTATATTTAGATACAATATCTATGCATATATCACTCGACAGACAAACTATGTAACAGATACCGCTGCAGTATAACGTCATTTCACAGAACATGTAACATCGAACTCGAAGAAAATTTAATTCAAACAATTAAAATATAATTGATAGATAATAAGAAAAAATCTAAGCAAACCAAATCCATCAAAAATCGCATATCGCCGTGTAGTACTGAATACTGATTTCTTCTGATTCAATATTAGATATTAAAATCCAATACCTATATACGATTTGATTATTATAGGGTAAAAGTGGAATTACCCATACCTTAAGACAAAGGAAGACGTACTTATATACAACATGTAACAAAAACCCTGTGGTTTCCGTTAAGTGTGTTATCAGAATCTGTATTCAAACGTATACAAATATCTTTAGGTACTTCAGAAAACTCGACCATTGAAAAATTAAATTAACTTTAAATAATTTTTTATTTGGATATTGTATGTGGGTTTATTACCCCTGCATTGGCCGGGGAGTGAGAGTATTGTCAAAGACCCCGCTTTAGGCTGCGTTTCCATCAGAGATGTGCGAGGTAGCTGGGCGGTGCAGGGATTCGTAGCGAGACTGTGGAACGGTGTGAGCGTTTCCACTAGCGATGTGCTAGGCCGCGGAGAGGTGCGATAATGCGTAGTGACGCTGTGAAACGGTGCGCAGATGAGCGGTGAGAGGATGTGTAGCGGGCTCGTTTCAGATGCAAGCGGGTGAGGTGTGGTAGGAGCGGAGCTTACGCGCTATGCATACTCGCACATCTCTGGTGGAAACGCAGTCTTACCGATGCGGTTTTCAATTAGTTCAGATGTGAATAACATTTTTTCACAAGATTAAATTTAGTAAGCTACCTATTGTGCACACTGAAATCTCTTTAATAACGGCCGAGAAAATTTCACTATCATAAATTCCATGCCTATATGTACATCTATACACCCTAAAAGGATCACCGGGTTGTTTGTTACGTACTATATAATTGGCTCAGGACCGTGCTTTGTGGAATTCCTTGGAGGAGACCTATATCCACCACTGGACTTGTGAAATTCTGTAGTGATGATGACGATGATGATTTATTATATAATATGGTATGTTGCAGGTGCGGCGCGCGTGACGATCACGTGCCCGGCGTGCCGGCTGCAGTGCCAGCCCGCCAACATGATCGACCAGCGCTTCGTGCTTGAGAAGATGGCCATGGAGCAGGCCGGCAACAACGGTGAGTCGCCGCGCATAATGCCTCATTTACATTCAGCTCCTGTCGTTGCTGTTCGCGCTGCCGGAAATATTGTCGTGGGAGTGAAGTATACTGCTCTGTCACTCGCTTCGCATTTGACTTTTGGGAAATGGAGGTCGTCGAAGTAATTACAGCGTCAGCGCTTTGTCTTCTTAGTTTATACAACTATTTGAGCTGTTTAAGACCATATACAATTAAAAATGGGAACTCGTCGTCGTAAACAATGGTGGATGACATCGATCCATCGAAAACGAACGTAACTTGAATCCCATATTATTTTTTTAATTTCCAGCAACTCTTAAAAAATATTGCCTTCTAGTTGTATTGGGACCATGTTCTTAAGTATTAAGTTATTAATTTTGAAATAAAGACATTGTATTAAGTAGAATTCGGTTGTGTCAGGCGGGCTATCGGGCGAGCAGCAGTGCAACAGCTGCGAGGACACGGAGCCTGCCACCAGCTACTGCGTGGACTGTGCAGAGTTTATCTGTGACAACTGCGTCAGTGCGCATCAGAGGTGAAACTTTGTTGAGAAATTTTTTTGGTTTTCCCAAGGATCCCCTCTAGGACCAAAGTACCTATCATACATGTTTATCCAACGCTTTTATTTTAGGGAGTAATCTTTTTAATTAACTTTGCATGCCTATTTACTATAACTGTATGTGTTTTAAGTATGGTTTTCTAAGGTAATAATATCAACAAATTTTATTTAGCTTTTGCAATATCCTTGTTCTTAATATGGTACAGCCTCGCTGCAGTATTAAGAGAGTATCATTTATGGATCAGCTCGACCGGAGAAGAACCGTGCTCGTATAATACTAGCGTAGAATAGTAACTTAATGCTGCTGCTGTGTTTCGTATACTGGCAATAAGGCATTTCATCATAGACCATGCGTTTATACACTAGGCAATGTCAGCCAAGTTCAGAAAAAAAGTGCAACGCACCGACTGGCTTTATATTTATATGAACCATTTCGAGCAAATTTCGCATCCCCATTACTCCCAAAACTATAAAACCTATACACGACGACAATTTAACACCCACATTGTAATCGTATGGAAAGACAGATGCTAGCAACTTATTCCACTCCTTTGCTGTACACATAACGAACGATGTAAAACAATTATAGTCTTTGCGTTATAGCATGGTGCGGGTGACAGGTCGACAGATCACTGGAACGTAATTTGCGTGCGTTTGCAAGATTACGATAAAAATTTTAACTATAAGAAAATAACACTGAATTTGTTTTTATAATTTTTTCTATTCTGTTATGACTATTAAATTAATTAAAACATATTAGGTGATCTAATATAGTTTTTTTACTAATAAAATTATAAAAGTTTCATTTATTTCACTTGCGTGCGCAGTTACATATTATGTATACTAGCGGTAATTTTTTAATTACTAGAGATGTGCTTCATAATCGAACGTAAAAACTTAAAGTTGGAAAAAAATTACTTCGCGTACATCTGCTCGATAAAATAAAATGATGTGTCTTACCTAGTTTGAAGAGCACCTCCCGCCCTCCCTCAATTGCGTGCACTATCACCGTCACCACTAATCCCAGCACCACTACTCCCAACACCACTACAGTAGGAAAGACACACCACCGACGACAATACGACACGTGTTTCGCCTCTACACGACGCACCTTCAGGAAATCTGTGGCTGACTGCTAAGCGAGCGGCGAGCCAAAACAACTATTTATACAGACCGCTGACGCAACCACTCCCTACTTAAGGAGCGAGCGACTGCTTCATGCGATAAAATATGCGACCAATCACGGCTGGACTTACACAGCCGTTTGTAAAATTAAAAACAAACCGCCGCGCAACGCCCGCCTATCCTCCAACCACGCAACCAATCGCCGATCATCGTGAGGGCGACAAACGACCATATTGCGAGGCTGTCTGTTATTAGCGAGCAGGCTTAAAGATATTCAAGAGAGGTGGGTTAGAAACATTTGTTTGTTCATTCAGCAGTGCAACGTTACTATTATTACTTTTTAATATCTCTAACTGTTCCAGCACACACAGTCGCAGGCCTTTATTACACGTTTGTAGGACTTTAAAGGAGTGGTCATTGGCTATGTTGTGTCCAGTGTCCAAAAGAAGTTTAGCAAAATGGGACTTTAAGTTTAAATTTAATTTTGTCGAGACTCTATTTATTTTATTCCACAACAAAATTAAATTTAAACTTGAATTGGAACAAGATTGTTCCCTTAATTTTCTCGACTTAACAATAACAAGAAAAGAATCGTCACATGTTTTCCAAATTTATCGAAAGCCAACTCATACCGACATGGTCATCCCCGCGTCATCGTGTCATCCGTGGCAACATAAATTAGCCGCTTTTTATTGTTACATTAATCGTTTGTCACTGTCCCATTAAGTGAAGAAAATTATTTAAAAGAGCTTAATATAATTTATCAAATAGCGCTCTCTAACGGTATTTCAAAAAATCTCATTAACAATTGAATTAAAAATAAACAAAAGCAAAAACAAACTAGCAGGTCAGGAGTACTGCGGGCGAGGTGGGGAAAAACGTCGCTCATCGCCGCGTGAGCAAATGTACCTCTTTACGCTTAAACCGCTAAACCAATTCAGATGAAATTTGGTATCGAGATAGTTTAAGTCCCGGGGAAGGATTAGGACAGCTTTGATCACGGAAATCATCTCTAAAGAGGGTGATGGAATTTACTATGAAAGCGCGATTATTGATGGATTACCTATAGTTTAAAGTATGATATCTGTGTGGACGAAGTCGCGGGAGGCTTTTTCCCCGCGAGTTTAGTCATATATGCAAAAACTAAAAATTATTAAAAAACATTTATTATCGGTCGTCGTCGTTGTCGCATGCTTAAGAGTTGGATCGCCTCGAAGATTGTTCATTTACAGTCCAAATAATAAAACAACAAATGTAGAATATAAGCAAGTGTTGTAAACAAAAAATTAAAAAATCGTTTATAAAACTGTAAATATGTATATATCCAATAAAACATACTTTTTTATTTCAACAAACTAGGTACTTTCGAATTTGATTCATAATTATTTTAATAAGTTACTTAATCAGTCGATTTTATATGCACTATGTATATACAACGTACATTTAATGGTACAAAGATTTGTGTACATGTATAAGATAGGAAAAGTTATTTTATAACCATTAAGTTTGCGATATATTTTGACCCGGGCAACGCCAGGTTTCGCGGCTAGTTTATGCAAGTACATGGTATTTCTATAGTTTAGGAAATATGCTGATATTGAACTGTTTAAAAGGACATATGATCAGTAATTATTGCATGCTAGGAGCATCCTTTAGTCATATAATGAATAAAGTTTTATTAGCTAGTAAATTTTGTCCTAATAGCACATTAATAATTCTTGTTGGTAGAAGAGGCAATGTAAACAAGAATCAATTATTAAAATATATTGATAATCTAAATACTTTAAATGTACATAAAATTATCTTATTTACATTGCCTTACATACAGGGTTGGCCGCAGGAAAATAAAATAAGATATGATTTAAATTTATTAATGAATAACTTTTCATGTAATAATAATAATTTAAACTTGACATTTAATTGTTATAATTATGATAATAAATTTAATTTAATAGACATAAATAATTTAATTAAGAAATTTTTGACTAGAGATAGGTATTACCAATCTAATTATATTTTAAGACAGACAGCAAATGTGCTATCTTATTGTTTATATATTAACTCAGCCAAGAACTTGGCTATACAGACATCTGCTCCTTTTGAGCAGTATAATGACTTAAGGCCTTAACAGTCGTTGAAATGCCTAAATCGTGGATATTTAAGTAAAAAAATCTCAATAACTGTTCATTTAATCCACAAAGAAAAAATACAAGATAACAGAAGAAGATTTGGTTAATGTTTTTAATTTAACAAAATTGTATTTTTGTCAACCCCTTATTAGAAAAAAAATCCCCAAAGAGTACCTATCTTTGTCATATTTTGCAAAATTTCTCCAAAACGGCACAAGCTTTTTAAATAGTTCTTACACTAAAAAAAAGGTCTTAAAAATATTAATATTTTTAATTGAGAGTTTTATTTTTATTACGCGTTTTATAAGAGAATATATCATTTTTCCCTGAAATTGAATATATTTACGCGAGCGCGCATGCTCCGTCGCCATGTAAGCTCTGTCACAGTCCGTTTTCGGACATCGTCGAGGGTGGACCGCACGTCGGTGTTGGAGCGACTTCGTTCAAATACATATTAGTTTTTTAAAAGTTTATACTCAATTATAAATATTTTTATGACTAGAAATACTTAATTTAGTTAATATCTGTACACTGGTAACTGTAAATATTATTTTCTAAATAAATTAATTTTTAAAGTGCCCAAAGAAGAAGAAATTTTTGCGGCGACGTTGATTAGTGAAATTGAAAAATGCATTTTTATATAATTTAGATGTGGAACGACGAACATGCTCTCGTTACTTAGATTTCGATCGTTTTTAATACCTATGTAATTTTATTGTTGCATATTTTTATTAATTAGTTGATAATGAATTTTATAATTATGTATTACAATAAATAAAATAAATATAAATATAAGTATGACTTTATAAAATATTATTGGGGAGAGAAATAAAGATATAGATACTTACATTTAGGTACACTGTTATCAAATTAAATCAAACAATTTAAATAAATAAAAGAATGGTGCTTACCTAAGTATAAATAACTATATAAAGACATTCTTGGGTTTATGGTTTTTTTTATGTTAGATAAACTATGATCTAAAAAATGTAAAAATTTTAAATTGGAGAGGGGTTTCTCTACGTGATAAAGTTAGAAATGAAGGTATTTGCATTAGAATCAGAGTAACTGACATAGCTCAACGGAATATTACAGTGAAATGGCAATGGGCTAGGTACATAACTTGGAAAACATATAAAAAATAGGAAGAAAGGTCCTCGAGTGGCAACCTCGTACAGGTAAGCGAATTAGTACTCAACCTTTATTCCTCTTCACGTATTCTCATACACTTTTCTTCACACATACACACACACACACACGCGCGCACACGCGCGCATGCACGCACGCGCGCACACACACACATACACACACACACAAATAGGTCGCAAATAATACTTACCTAGTACAATAGGTAATTAGGCAAGAGTGAATAGGTTTTTGTTAAGTCAGTGCAATTCACCATCTTAGACTACATAACCACTTACCGATGGGATTGTAGTTGCTTTACTACTTGCTGGGTAAAAATAGTAAAAAAAAAATTGACCCTGTGAAAGTTTGTATTTAGATATAATTTTTCTAACCAACCATAAAAATATGATGAGAATATGTATATAAGTATAAAGGTTGCCTCACACGGTACAGTAATAATATAATATTATATCTTCCATTATCTCTGAAATCCGAGGTATGTTCATATTAAGAGGCTAAATAGAGCCACATTGAAATGCATGGGGATCGTTTTGTAATTTCACGTCATTATCGAAAAAAAATTGTATGTATTTT